AGTAGTAAGTCGAAACAGTAAGGAAATAATGATAAAACTCCCCGGAGGGTCCAAAATAGTTGGCACGAAGCCCAAATATGGCAATCAGTCCAAATAATGATGATAACAAATAAGCTTCAATCAAATACGCAGTAAAAACATCACTCGGGACGGACCAAGTCACAATCTCCAATAGTAAACGACCCCATGCTCATCATTAAGCGCGTGTCTAACCTCAATATAGCACTACGATGTGCAAATCCGGGGTTTCAAACCCTCAGGACATCATTTACATTCATTACTCACCTCGAACCGGTAAAAACTCTAGCTCACGACGCCTTTCCCTCTCAAATCGGCCTCCTCGCACGTCGAATCTGACCAAAACCAAAACGAATACGTCACAATATGCTAAGGGAACATAACCCAAATCAAAACAATCGAAAAATATCAAAAATCTCGAAATTAGCAAAACCCGAGCCCCGGGCCCACTTCTCGAAACTCAAAAATTTTCACTTCATTAGATTCCTTATCACCCCACGAGTTCATACATACCAAAAGTTCTCAATTCCGACCTCAAATGATCCCTCAAATCCCAATTCAAAAGTTCAAAATCCCAAACCCTAGTTCTTCCAATTTTAGCTTAAATTCCATGAATTTCTAGGTTAATTTCACAATAGTCACGTTTTTGGTTCATAAAACTTACCTCCAATCAATTCTCCTTGAATACCTCTTCAATCTTCCTCAAAGAGCTCTCAAAATGATCAACTATGGTGGAAAAATGGCTCAAAATCGCGGAGGAAATGTCTTATAGACTTTCTACCCAGTTCTAATATTCATTCTTCGCGAACGCGGTCAACGTCTCGTGTTCGCGAAGCACAAACTTATGTTGACCAATTTTTGCCCAACGCGAACGTGTCACACCAATTGCGAACGCGACAACCTTACGCGAACGCGATGAACAAAATGCCTTGGACCCCAATTTGCTCTACACGATCGCGAGTGCCTTCTCGCGAATGCGATGCACTGCTTCCCATCCTTTCGCGAATGTGAGGCACCTCTTGCGAACGTGAAGGCTTAATTCTGGTCTTCCTCAAATCCTTCTACGCGAACGCGACATACCCCTTGCGAACGCGAAGGGTTATTTTCTGCAACACCCGAACTCCCAAAATCTGCAACTTTTCAACTTAGAAAATGGTCCGATTGACCACCCAAAACTCACCCGAGGCCCTTGGGACCTCAACCAAGAGCACCAACATGTCCTAAAACCTCATTCAAACTTGTTCCCATCATCAAAACACCTCAAACAATGCCAAATCCATCAATTCAAATCGAATTCAAGCCTAGCTTTTCTAAAAACTTCTGAAACACGCTTTAGATAAAAAACCCGACCAAACCACATCCAAGTGACCTGAAATTTTGCACACACATCCCAAATCACATAACGAAGCTACAACAACTCTCGGAATTCCATTCTGACCCTCGTATCAAAATCTCACCTATCAACCGGAAATCGCCAAAATACTAACTTCACTAATTCAAGCGTAATTCTACACCGGACCTCCAAAACCACTTCCGATCACACTCCTAAGTCACAAATCACCTTCCTAATCTAAACGAACCATCAGAACTTACATCCGACCCCTCTAACTCATAAGTCAACATCCGGTTGTCTTTTCCAACTTAAGCCTTCTTAAAAGAGACTAAGTGCCTCATTTCTTACCAAAACCACGCCAAACGGAAACCAACCAACTCAACCATAAAACATGGATAACGAAGCATAAAGAAGTAGAAATGGGGAAAACGGAGCGGTAACTCATGAGACGACTGGTCGGGTCGTCACAGTGAAGGAGAAATTGCCCTCAAAGTCAAGGCCATAAACCATCCACCGTATTTATAAACTCATATGTTTTATTTGTTTGAAACAGGGACGGAAATTGTGTCCAAATTAAAGCTTGGAAGTTTTATTTTCTCAAGTGTCGTGCCCAAATTTTGTCAGCACAAAGGCGGTTTGAGAAGATGAAAGAAAAATTTGTTCGATCTGCAGGAACCCTACATGAGGAAAAGCATGGTTCAGGGGCAAGGAATTTTGTTCGTTATGCAAGGATCCTCCAGAAAGAGAGCATGACTCAGGTATGTTCATTCAAGACCTTCATAGGTAACAAGATTTAGCGTAAGTTCCACCTTTATGAAATATAATTTAGCTTTAAAGTTGTCACTCTTAAGACGAGATTTAATTTGAAATTTTCAGAGCCCTCCTGGATAATGGGATTTAGCTTTTAAATTCTTAGAGCTCTTTTGTATAACATGATTCGATTAACACTCACAGATGTGCCTAGACACCAAATTAGGGCAGAAAAGTTTATTTTGTTTTGTCTGTTTTGTTGTAATGGCAGGTGCTCACCTGGAAAACAAGGGAATACAGTTCGAGTTTTGGCAATCAGACACCCACCTGGAGAACAAGGGAATACATTTCAAGTTTTGGCAATCAGACGCCCACCTGGAAAATAAGCGAATACAGTTCAAGTTTTGGAAATCAGGAGCCCACCTGGAGAATAAGCGAATACAGTTCAAGTTTTGGTAATCAGGCACCCACTAGGAGAACAAGGGAATACAGTTCAAGTTTTGGTAATCAGGCACCCACTAGGAGAACAAGGGAATACAGTTCAAGTTTTGGTAATCAGGCGCCACCTGGAGAACAAGGGAATATAGTTCAAGCTTTGGCAATCAGGTGCCCACTTGGAGAACAAGGAAATACAGTTCAAGTTTTTTGCAATCAGGCACCCACCTGGAGAACGAGGGAATACAGTTCATGTTTTTGCAATCAGACGCCCACCTGGAGAACAAGGGAATACAGTTCAAGATTTGACAATCAGGCGCCCACCTGGAGAACAAGGAAATACAGTTCAAGATTTGGCAATCAGGCGCCCGCCTGGAGAACAAGGGAATACAGTTCAAGATTTGGCAATCAGGCGCCCAGTTGGAGAACAAAGGAATACAGTTCAAGATTTGGCAATCAGGCGCCCGCCTGGAGAACAAGGGAATACAGTTCAAGATTTGGCAATCAGGCGCCCAGTTGGAGAACAAAGGAATACAGTTCAAGTTTAGGTAATCAGGCGCCCACCTAAAGAACAAGTGAATACAGTTCGAGTTTTGGAAATCAGGCGTCCACCTGGAGAACAAGGGAATACAGTTCAAGTTTTGGTAATCAGGTGCCCACCTAAAGAACAAGGGAATAGAGATCAAGTTATGGTAATCAGGCGCCCAGGTGGAGACAAGGGAATACAGTTCATGTTTTGGCAATCAGGTGCCCACCTGGAGAACAAGGGAATACAGTTCAAGTTTTGGCAATCAGGCACCTACCTGGAGAACAAGGGAATACAGTTCAAGTGTTTAGCAATCAGGCGCCCACCTGGAGAACAAGGGAATACAGTTCAAGTTTCGGCAATTAGGCGCCCAACTAGAGAACAAGGGAATACAGTTCAAGATTTGGCAATCAGGTGCCCACTTGGAGAACAGGGGAATACAGTTCAAGATTTGGCAATCAGGTGCCCACTTGGAGAACAGGGGAATACAGTTCAAGTTTTGGTAATTAGGCGCTCAACTGGAGAATAAGGGAATACATTTCAAGTTTTGGCAATCAGACGCCCACCTGGAGAACAAGGGAATACAGTTCAAGTTTTGGCAATCAGACACCCACAAGTTTTGGCAATCAGGTGCCCACCTGGAGAACAATGTAATACAGTTCAAGTTTTGGCAATCAGGCGCCCACCTAGAGAACAAGGGAATACAGTTCAACTTTTGGCAATTAGGTGTCCACTTGGAGAACAATGGAATACAGTTCAAGTGTTGGCAATCAGGTGCCCACCTGGATAACAAAGGAAGTCATTTCAGAATTCAATTCAAGTTAGAAGTAGCAGAAGTTCGCGGCAAGAATGCAAGTCAACAGTCCGAGATGATCAACAAAAGTTGGTCACAATCCAGAATAAAAAAAAAGAAATGTAAGAAGTGAATCCAAATGTAGAAGTAGATGAAAGATGTGAGATGCTGAAGACACGACTGAAGTCACAAGCATGGTCTGTCCGGTTTTGATTCGAAAAGCTGAAGAAGAATGAACTAGCACCTGCAGCTAGCAAGCGTTAGGGTTCAAATCTAAAGTCTGCATGAAGAACTATTCAAGTCTCAAGACCAAGCTTCAGAAGACTTATAGATAGGAATCTTGTAACTCGTAGTTGACAGGCTTAGTTAGCCTTTTTCATTTTGATTTTTGATGTAATAACAGTACCACGGACCGGTACATCGGCGGAATGACACCTCCACCGGCTCTCCACCTCAGCATACTCCATCACTGTTTCTACTTCTGAACTACACGTGGTCTGATTCCTTTATAGCCAAGGATATGTGGGCAGCTCAGATACCAAGGCTCGGTCACATTCTCCTTTCTCTTAGTTTTGGTCTTCCTAAATAAGGGTCTGGTCAAAAAACCTATCTGGTCGTTCTTTGTCTGAAAATACTTCATGTTTCCAATCAAAGAGGGGTAGCTGCAGACATGTGATTTTTGACCCTCCCCGAGATTTCAGCCATTTTAGCGTAAAATATTTCGTTTAGGCCTAATATCAATATTTCAATTAATTTTGACTCTTTTACTTTATCTTACCAAAAAATGAAAATTACCAAAAAATATTTCTTCTTTTTAGTTGTTGTTAGTTTATATACCTTTCGTAAAACTAAAAAAAATACAAAAAATAGTACCTTATTTTTATTTTAATATGATATTTGAAAATATATAAAAAAGGTTTGTATTAACGATTAGTCTTATCTTAATAGTTATTTTACTTAAGTAGAATTAACTGGTAAATGAGGTCATATTTTTAGTCTTGTTCACGGAGAAATAATAAAATTTGGGCTCAAACGACCCATTTTTATGCCTAATATTCGGATCTAGCCCATAACAACCCAAACCCAATACCAACTAAACTAACCCTAACACCCTTAAAAACCTAAAGACCCTGAAAGATCTAGGGGAGCCCTTTGTAAACATAGAGACCCCCTCCCCCCGATCGGTCTTCATCTCCAAAAGAAGACAAGCTTCTTTCCATGGCAAAAATGAGAGAACCTCACCCCTAAGCAACAACCGTTACACACAAGACCCCTCCCCCCCTCTTTGAATTCCATCTTCTTCGTCATCCCCAAGCAACAACCCTATTTCCCTCTTCTTTAACATCAACAACCTAGACACCCAACCGTTAAAACTCACCAGAAACCAACCCCACCAGCTAGAACAGAAGCGTCAAAAAGACCAACCAACGACCCCTGCTTCTGAACAACCCAAAACGAGTCAAAATTTTAGTTTTGCCTCTTGATTATGGTCTCAAAGATGGAGTTTGTCCGGAGCTGATTTAATTCACCGTCTGAGGTCCGAGTTCGTCGTTCCGGTTGGAGTACATCTCGTCTTGATGTTTTGGATTGGCTTGCTGCTGGATTTTGCATATCTAGATTCGTTTATACCTTCTCTAATCATTTCAAACATCAATTGAAAGCTCATTTTCAGGTTCCTTCCTGGTTCCCTTTCTCCCTAACGTTCCGAGTTTGTGACTGTTAACAGAGTTGTGGTCGTAATGTGATTGTTAGTAATTTTCATGAATATTTCTATTTGGTTTGGCTGAGTTTACATGTAAATTGAGTTTTGAAATTTTCCGTTCTTCAATTTGATACAAATCCGTAGGTTCTTGACAGATAGTTTGAAAGGGATTGTGTTTGAATGCTGCCTCAAAGTTTGTTTTACACTCGACCAAGCTTTCGCGATTTGTTCCCTTTTTTTTCACTTGTTTTTAATTAGGAAACTAGACAATTATATCATAGCTGCCTCTGTTTAACTTGCTGAAATTCAGATTGAGGCATCTATTTTGGTTCTGTTTGCTTTAAGCTGTTGTGTGGATCGACGAACGTTCATTGTCTTGAGCAAGCATATTATATCTATGTTAGAATGCTAAATGGTTATTATGTTGACATTTTCTTAAGCATTATGCCTCCACTTTGTTGTACCTATTGGAGTTTGAGCTATTGTCCTTGGTCAGTATGATCTCGCGAAGTGTTAATTCAAGTATATGAAGTTTGGAGTTGTTGGTTCACTCTACCAGTTCTGTTTGAAAACACTCAACATCCTGTCATTTGTTTTCGTCTACTAATTAAAAATCAACCATGGCTAAGGTTTAAAAGAATTGATTTCTTGCTTTCGATTTTTGAGCTCGTCTTGCTGGCATAATTGAACCTGAACATGAGTAGTTGATAAAATTGGAATGCCTATGGTTGTAGCTCAATGTCGGGCTGAATTGCATTCGGGTGGCTAGTATTCAGATCCATTTGTCTCTGTTGATCTGTTTTGAACTTGTGGCTTGATATGCATATAGTTTGAGTGTTGTTATTCTTCATGTTTTCAAAGATCATGTTTCAAAATTTATTAATTGAAAGTTCTGTTGGATTACTCTAGTAGCTGAATCACATTCTCAGGTCCTACTGTTGAGCTCATACCACGTGAGAGTGCTGAAAGTTTTTTTAATTGATTGTGAAAAAGGATTTTTCATTCAAAGAGAGGTAGTTCATTCACATTTGAGAGGAAGTGATAATTCAAGTTCAAATTTTTTGTTCGGTTTAGCTGAGTTGGTGATAAAAGCTGTTGGCTTTCAAGTGAACATGTTAGTCTTGTTACTATGCTGATTAAGGATCACATTTGGATGGCTTCTTATTCTCTGTTAAAACATGCCAATAGTTTAGTTGAAGTCTAAGGACAATATGAATTCTTGCTAACTTCACACTTCATTGATTTGTTTCTACATTGATCAACATTTCATTGACTAGGATTTTGGCATTCTTTGTATTGATTCTGTTTCCCCGTTAACTTAGAAGTTTGTTAGGAAACGAAATGAATCAGAAATAGGAGCTCTCATTTAGTTTTGTTTCATTTGCTTATATTATTACTTAACCGCTAGGAATATGCTTAAGCCGACTACATTTGCGTAAGCAAACTTTTTGGCACGTAAGTAATCATCGCAAGTACGGGTACGATTCCCGTGTCGTAGTTATGATATCTAATTTCAAATTAGTTTTAAATATGAATATCCATAGTTCATTTAGTTGAATGCTTTTCCTTTAATAAAATTGAGGTGTTCCATCCAATCACTTAGTCTATGGCCCTCACATCGATACCTTAACTAGTGTAGAAAAATGCCCTGAACTTTTGTAGTTAGCTTTAGGCGCATTTAATTAAATAAATTGTCATATCTATGGGTACGGTTCCCGTGATGTAGTTGTAATGCCTAATTTCTAAAATTTGGGGTACATTTATGTGACACGACCAAAATTTAATTTTGTTAAAAAATTGACATGTTGTAGATCGTGGGTACGGTTCCCGTGACATGATTCGCAATGTGTGTTAAATAAATAACTGTATGATAAACGTGGATTACTAAAAACGGTTAAAAGTGGGTAAAATGCACATAGGTTTTAAAAAATGTTTCAAAATCAGATAAATAGGCCAGTATTAATAGTTGAGTGACGTGCTAAAATCACGGAACCGGGAATACCTAACACTTTCTCCCAGGTTAATAAAATTCCTTATCCGAATTTTTGTATTTCGCGGACTGTAAAACAGAGTCAATATTTTCTCGATTCGGGATTTCAAACCGGTGACTTGGGACACCATAAATCATCCTAAGTGGCAGCAACTCTAAATTTTAAATAAGTAATCTTATTTCGATTGTCACTTAAATTGAAAAAAACTCCCTTATACCCCTTTCCGGGGTAGTAAAAAAGAGGTGTGACAATGTATTTTGAGGTTTCTTATGTACACTCAGTAGAGTTTATGACTCAGTATTACCGGGTTTTGGGATTTATGTGACTATTGTATTCCACTTATAGTTATGTTATGGCATTTTCAACTTCCATTAATATTTTAGTTGGTGTTTGGTTCTGTTGATCTTGCTATGTGAGAGGCTTACCTAGTTCTAGGAACTAGGTGCCATCATGATCTTCAATGTATGTAACATCCAAGGTAACATGATAACTTACTTTATGTACTTCCAAATATGATCTCATTTTTTGTCTTACATTAGTTTACTTATGACTCACATTGATGTACGAAAACATGGGGTATAACATCATTCCCCCTTTTGGAATATTCGTCTGTGCGCTTATCAGTCTCATAAACCATAGCTGTTATGCATAATTTAATATTGCCCTTGCCATCTAGGCAACTGTTTTATGAATAAATCCGAGGCTAGGGCATTCCCCCCTTTAGGCCTCTTTCTCACACCACGACTTGTTGTAGGAATTCCTCCAATCTCGTAACTGTTGTGACATACTGTCATGCAGTCTGTACGACTTTGTCCTTGTATGTGCGCCTATGTGACTCTTCTCTCATTTTTCCATCATATTTTAGCCAATCTCTAGGTCTCACTTTGTGAACATATACAGAACTATGACAAGATGTCCCTCTGGGAATCTATAGGTGTACTGAAGTTTTTCACTTGGTACTTTGTCGAACTTATGTCTAATGCTATATCTTGTTTCATAGCCTCAATTATCTATACTTATGGCTTTACTATATCTAGGTATCTTATACTATACCACAACCCTTACTTTTATTTATTATGGCCAAGGTCTTCTACCCAACTCCAGGTTATTCGCTTACTGCTTATCCTATAGGTATAAATTTAAGTCCCTTAATGCTTCCTCATTACTACTCATCTTAAGAATGACAACCACCTATCTCACACTTTGGAACATTCATCCATCTATTGTTGCTTCACCTTAAATTGATCTATTATCTATCACTGATCACTTAAAACCTCTTATGTAATATATTGTCACTAGGGCTCACGTTTCATCGGGAAACATCTGGAGTTGGTGTCCTGATCTACTTAGGGTCAATACTATACTTCAATAATCGTATTTCATAGCATCCCAATGTGATTCACCTTATCGGGATATTTTAATCCCATACAATTCATGAAATCCCCTTTCCTTTGAATCATTACCCAATCAAAGGCCTAAACGTCATCCTCTTATCTACCACAATTACACCCTTATTCTACCAGTAGGGAAAAATCCCATCTTTCTAAATTCTCCTAGTCTTAAACTCCTCTGAGTTCACTCATTCTATACTGAGCTTTTTATAACTTATGGAAACCATCAGCTCTCTTGTTGTGATGGGTTTAATCTCGAGGACTTACCTAATCTTGTCTCCTTCTCACTCACCTTTTCTTATCCTTACTTCTGTCTACCTAAAACCTTGCCGCTCTACCATACATTAGCTTGCGACCTACATATATCTATTTATACTACTCGCAAACTTCCTTTAACTTGCTAGCACCATATATTTTCTTATGTTATTCTGGAACCTCAAGAGAGATATCATATCGTCTCTAACTCTTCTTTACTCTATTAACTAGACCTCTCTATATTTTGAAACCATAGGCTGGAAGATATGCCACTGATGACAACAATATCAATTTCTTGATACAGAATTATGACGCTTCCAGCCCTCTATCTGATATATGGATTGTTTGTAACCTTTTGTACTTGGGCATCTCGTACCTTCTTCACATGTACCTTACTTACCTTTAAATCTTGCATCGTATCTTCTATCTCTTTCGTAATGTTACACCCAGTAAGTTTAACAACCTTGCTACCGATATATATATACATTTGATATGGTATTTTAAGTGGAACAATTTTTGTAAAAAATAAAGTCTGAAAAATATGATTTTATATAATTATTAATATTACTACTTTTGAATATGCTTTAAATTATACACATAATATGAGAAAGCTTATGAGATTTTTTTTATTGTAAAGTTAGAAATTATTTTCTCACAAGAAAAAGGTTATCTTTTTACCATTTTAAGAATTAAGCGTACGAAAATTTGTATTCTTTATATGAGATTAGAAAAATTAGAAGTTGAGAAAATATATGTATTTTTACATGAATGTTTTAGTGAAATAATAGTATATGTATTTTATATGGTACCGCATGACCATGATAGTAAAGTGTATAAAGTGTGTTAAAAGTAAGTAGTATTTTAAGTAATTTGAGATAATTCTTAATTATGCGAGTAAATTAGTAATTATCTAAAATAATTGGGATAAGGACATCACATGGCAGCAACACAAATCAAACAAAGTGACTCATCAATTAAATTGAAAGGTGGCATCATACACCAAGTTTTGAAGCTTGAAACATTGATATCGTGGTTATAATAGGGTAAAGGAATAAAGTACTCGAGTGTGTTAGCTAGTAGCCCAAAGGCTATGCATTTTACTCTTTTCTCTGTTTCTCCTTTTGAACTTGGTTAATAGACAAAGTAAAAGATGCATAAACGAAGTAGAGCTGAATATGGTGTATAATTATTTTAAAAAAATTTCCATGGACAAGATAAGAATTACGTTTTTCCCTGGTAAAGCACATAGTTCCAAGCCTTTGGATAAGGGTAATGAGCCAAAACGTGATTTGCATCAGCAATTCATATGAAATGGCTTAATACTATAGCAATGTAGTTGCTTCGAGCTTTTCATACAACTTGTTCCGTGTTTTATCGCAATAAACATGTGTTAGCGGGATTGTCAAAAGAATCGACTCAGATATGTTAAGACTATCCCTTCCTTCTTTAGGCATGATCCAAGTAACGATACATAAACGTAATGATATTCCATAAGTAGTTCTACTCTTAGCAGTTAATGATGCCCATGTTATTCATTCCCGTAAAGTGATATTCAAGCATGTCTAAGTACATATCTAGTTCCCTATTGAGGTATATGATAAATATATTAATGTTCATAATATAAGTGACATGCACCCACACTCACAACTAATTTTTTCTAACAAAAAATGTTAAAAGTGTTTGTCAACTACTATACTATGTCCACAAGAAGAATAGTCTTCAGCTATTATTGTTTATCTGTTGGTTTCCAAAGATAGTTTCAGCTAGTAATACATTCTTGCAAGACTATTTTTCCTTTCAGTGACTTTCATAAGCAATTGACTTAAGGAAAGAAGATATATCTCCTGAGTTAATTATCTATAAAAAGAATAGGCTGTATATCCTTAGTTTGCAAAATTTAGGATAGTCTATTGGAGGGCCTAGCTTTGGAATTCTGGAGATATTCTGCAGTGTGAGATTGAAGGCTTATTCCAGGCTAATTTCAAGACCCTTGAGGTCCTTGAGGCATTTACCAACAGTTGTGAAGTTATGTATCATCATTTACCACCGAGCTACGGCCGGTCCGGTAGTCATGCATTTACCACTGAGCTACAGCCGGTTGGGTAATTACATATTTACCATCGAGCTACGGCCGCTTGGGAAGCTACATATTTACCATCGAGCTACGGCTGGTTGGGCAGTTACGTATTTACCACCGAGCTATGGCTGATCGGGCAGTCATGCATTTACCACCGCGCTACAGCCGATCGGGCAGTTACTACTGATCAGTTGGGCAACCATGCATCATACATATGGATAATAGTCTCAAAGAGAAGCATTATATATATATATATATATGTAAGTATAATAAGTATGCATTTATGGTGGCACTTCAGAGATTCAGGTTGATTCTTATATGTCTTTAATTAATGTTGGATAATGGTTATGTTTCAGTTCTGCCTTACATACTCAGTACATTACTCGTACTGACGTCCTTTTTTTGGGGACGCTGCATTCATTCCTGTAGGTATAGATAATCAGTTTGACGAGTCCTCATAGTAGACGAGATTGGCATTCAACGA